AAAAGATGAACAGTAAAATGAACCTATGTGCAGTCTGTTTTGGCGGGCCACATACCTGGCATATTGGGTACCACACCTGCCAAAACCCACCATTATTAGCTCAGGCAGGAGGCCCATGCACAGCTGTCCCTCTCTCTAAAGATATTTGCTTTATTTTGCTTTGCTTTTGAGACAGGGTTTCTGCTGTGTAGTCCAGGCTGGTCGCTCTCACTTGTGATCTTCCTCTGTCTGCCCCCTGAGTGCTAGGATTACAGGTGTGCACCACTATATGTAGCTTCCTCCTCTTTAAGGCGGCGACCATACATTAAAATACGGCCTCAGACAATCGGTGCTCTGCTCTGACTGGGATAAGACAGGTGACCCATGGGAACCTGGCAGCTGGGCCCTCTTGGTTTGGCTGATTCCTAGGGCCTCTGGGAAGGAATTCCTGGCTGCCACTGAGATAGATACTACTGTATGAATGTGGTGGTGGCTACAGGAAGCAAGGTAGCCTTAGAGCTGGAGAGAAGGCCAAGACAGAGCAGAGCATACAGCCAGGCCCAAGCTGCCAGGCCACACGCTAGCGAAACTTCTTGGGCTGCCCTGGATCTCGGTGACTTCTTCCCTGTGTCTCCATGACTTCCCCCGCACCAGCAAGATGGGAAAGGCTTTTGTCTTGCTTTCTTTGAATGCTCTTGGGAAAAAATCTTTCTAGAACTTGTAAGTGCGTGCCTGGGATAACGGCACAGACAGTTTTCACCTGGGTGTCTGATGCTTTCTCACACCCGAGCAGGATGCTGCCTGGTCTGCCTCGATTATTTTCCCCTTTAAAGAAGTCTGTTTTCAGCCGGGCAGTGGTGGCGCACACCTTTAATCCCAGCACTTGGGAGGCAGAAGCAGGCGGATCTCTGTGAGTTCCAGGACAGCCTGGTCTATAAAGCAAGTTCCAGGACATCCTCCAAAGCTACACAGAGAAATCCTGTCTCAAAAAAACAAAACAAACAAACAAACAAAAGTCTATTTCAGGTATTTGTGGATAAACCCCAGAGCTGAGAGTAAGAAAGTATAAAAATGAACAGAAGCAGCGTACTGTGATGGTAAAACCCACTAGAGAGAAAAGTCACTTCTTCTGTCGCCAAGTAGAGGCAGATAAGATTCATTACAAGAAAACAGATCTCCTCACTAGCAACTGGGAGGACACCATGAAGAGATTTCTTTAAAAGTTATTTTCCTATCTCAAAGAGTTGCTATCAGAAAAATACAAAATGTCTTGTTTTTGCTAGCTGGGCCCTTGCTACCCTTTCCAATGATCTTGCAAATTACTCTGCAAAATTTAATTACTTCACTTTCTCTGGCTTAAATTCTGTGTAAGTTTAACAACGGTTTGACCTTTGCTGTCTGCCCTTGTTTCTCCAAAGCTGGGAGAGCATCTGCCCTTTGTGTTTCACCCCTGGGAGAAAATGTATCAGCCACCCAACCCTGCTAATCGGGGGACAGACAACACGTTTGAAATATTCCCTAGGCTTTTTAAGGAAGGTGGGGGGGAGGGAGGGAGACAGACAGACAGACAGACAGAGAGAGAGAGAGAGAGAGAGAGAGAGAGAGAGAGAGAGAGAGAGAGAGAACAACAAAAATGTTCCTCAAAGAAAAAAAGGAACAATTGGTTAGCTTCGTGCAAAATATTCCCGCGGGGCGTTTCCATTTGTCTTTCTAGCCACAGATATCATGGAAAATCCTACAGCGTGCACTGTGTGAATACCCTGAGTATTCATTCAGTAAGTTTCCAGATTTGGCTTCACTTATTCCATTCCAAAAGATTTGGCTAGCCTTCCAGAAGGTCCAAAATCTCGGAGTGTTGAAGTGTCATCAAAATGTAATCCCAATCCTCAGGGTTTGCCATCTCTTATTTCAAATAACTAAGACCAGAAAGTCTGCTGTTTTCTTCCCATCGGGAGAAGATGTATTTAGGAGTAATCTGTGGGGGAAATAGGAGTTGGGTGCTCCAGTTACATCCAAGGACCAGGTAACTAGCTAATCGGAGAAAAGACAGCACGGGCATCTTCTGTCCCCAAACTGCCTTTAAAAAGAAAAAGTGCACTCTTAAGACTCCAAATAGTAAGCACAGCCTTGGGTATCAGAGTTTAAAAGAACAAAAGGTTAAAAAGAAGTAATTTCAGTGGGGAGGATGGAGCTGTTTTAAGCACGGAGCTCCCGTTCTTAATGTAGACCACAAATTGCTTAAGCCTGTGATCAAACCCCACAGTGGCTCCCAGGAGGAGGCCAGGTTGGCCTAGCCCTGAGTGGCAAAGTTTGGGGGTGGGGGGGAGCGGGAGGTCAACTTCCGTTCTCTCTCCAACTGAATGAAATGTAACTTCGCATTCGGTTACGGGAGGGTTAAGCAGGGGGAGGAGCGTGCGCTTCTGGGTACAGCTGGAAGGCATTAACAACTCTGCGAGCATCTCGGTAACTCAGAGGGTGGGTGGCCTGGCAAAGATCCTGGATCTGAGTGTAATCATAGGCTCTTAGCACTGGGAGGGTATGATTCCCACCCCCCACCCAGGACAGAAAGCCCTTACAACGGTTTTGTGTGCATACTTCCACCCAAGGCCCGGTCATCGCTTTCCCGTGACAGCCCCTTCCTACCGGGGTAGCATCCATTCCTAGAAAGTTCTTGGCAAATTTACCTCCCTAGCAAGTTTACTCTTCCAGCGCAGCCCTCCCTCGGGTGTCACAGCTCACAACAGTGCTGCCAGTGGAGACAAAGGACCCCTCCCCTCCGAATTCTTCTCTCAATGACCCTTCTTTTTTGTCAGTCCTGACTCCCTCCCACTTAGTTTCCCAGCATCCATGTGAGCCTGCCCATGCTGGACTGGGTTTATGGTTTAGAAACATGTTTGGAATCTCTTCTAAAAACAGGGCCCAGCCCCTAGCACACTCCTACAGTCACCTGGAGCAGGGTTTTTCTTTATTGTGACAGTTTCACTCAACTAGCCTCCGCTGGCCTGGGAGTTGCTATGTAGGAAAAGTTAGTTATGAAGATCTGCCTGCCTCTGCCTCCTGAATGCTGGGATTAAATGCAAGCACTAACACAACAGACCTTTAGGGCAAACTTCTTAAACTCCCACTCAAAACCCATTTTGGGTCAGAAATTTTCATGCCACCTGGGTATACAGATGAATAAAAAATTAAATACTTGCCAGTAATCATAAAATTATTTTAGAACACTTCTCTGGTATTCATATAATTTTATCACTTAGTAATGACAGCATGTTTGCAGGTTAATGAGATGGACATGCTTGCTCTTTTTTATTTGAAGAATGATATCTTATTTATATCAGCTAATGTAGAGAATTTCCAGTGCTTTGCAGAGTTGATCAACCATTTGAACTTTGTGATCATCCATATTGAGAGCTGTGCTTCATGTAAACACGGAGCACGGCAGCCTGGAGAGACGCTTTGGCAATTTGGAGCTCTTGCTGCTTAACCATGTGTGTAAGGATTCGGGTATCATGCTGACCCCGCCCCCGTCACACCTGAGTTCAGGCAGACACTGAGCTCAAGGGGCCCTGTGTTGTGTGGCTACCTCAGGCATTACTTGGCTTCCTAAGGACTTTGTACACATTGCAAGCTTCCCCTTCTAAGTGAGCCTCAGCCTGATGGCCCCTTCTTCCTCCTCCTTTGCCCCCTTCCATCTCTGGTTCCCCACCCCTTCCTCTTCCCCTTCCATCTCTGTTCCCGGTTAGCCAACACCAACCCCCCCTTGTTCCCTTTCCCCAATAAACTCCACGTGGGTTTTCTAGTTAGGGTTTCATGCCCACAGCTGCAGCAAAACAACAACCTTGTGGACCTGAATTTGGTTCCCAGCACCCACACTGGCTCACAGTCACCTGTAACTCCACCATGCCAGGGATCCAATACCTCTCCTGACCTCCTCGTGTACACGTGAAAACATGTGTACATATACACGTACATAGACATGCGCATGCGTGCAGTCAGTCATTAATAAAATTAAAATCTTGTCATATTCCTTCTCCACCACCACCCAACTTCATGTTTTTCCTCTCTTGATTTTTTTGAGAAAAGATCTTACTGTCTAGACCAGGCTGGCCTTGAACTGTGCAAGCCACAGTTTACAAAGCTGTGAGTTGGGGGAGCATTTCTGTTTTGAGGAAAAAAGTCTTTGCAGAGATGAAGCATCCAACTCCTTTTCAGACAGTCAGCAAAGCTTGTTTTGCCCCTTACCCTCAGGCAAGCTTCCCGAACCTCAAGGCCTTCCTGCAGCTGTGACAAAGAAGGGGCAAGAGACAAGAATGGATACTCTCTCCTGGATGCTCAAGGGGGAATACCACACTTTTCAACTTTAGAGGCAAAAGATGAGTCCTATAGCAACCCAACATCTAGACCAAAGAAATCCTCTAGGACCCAGACAAAAAGGTCACTTTGAGTATAACGTCCCCTGTCCAAAGACCTTCCGTGTCTTCCCCCATCTCCACAGAACACAACTGCTTGGTCCCCCTGAGCCTGGCGCACCTAGTCTCTTCTCTCTTCCCCTTTGCTGCTCCCGCTACCTTATCTCAGTTATCTGTGGCTCTATAACCCACACTCCTCCTGCTTGTCTTCCCTGGAATGCCTTTCCTGCCTCCTTCAGGAGTTTTCTCTTCTTCGGAAAATCACAGAGCACCTGCTAAACCAATGTTTCCACCTTCCATTGATTCCAGGTCAGATTCTGATGGCTGGAGGCGTCTCTTCTCCGAGTTCTTTTTAGTTCATTGGTGTCCAAACACGAACAGGAGTCAGCCTTTACTTTTAGTGTATTGAATGCAACAGACGCTGTCGTTCCTTTGGTCTGAGGAACATCCTCGCTGTGCCTTTACCCTCGTTATAAGGGAGGGATGGACACAGGGTTGATTCAGATTCAGATTTTTACAGATTAGGTAAATGAATACCTATGACTTCACAGTGTCACCTCACATAAACTGACACCGCAAGGGGATAATTTTGACCTCATTTTGTGTTCCCAGCTGTGCCTCAGATCAACTGTGATATCAAAGCTGGAAAGATCATCAATCCTGAGTTCATGGTGAAATGTCCAGCAGGGTGCCAGGACCCCAGATACCATGTTTACGGCACTGGCGTCTATGCGTCTTACTCCAGCGTGTGTGGCGCTGCGGTTCACAGGTGGGTGGCTATGACCTGCTCAACAAGCAGCGATCAAAGCGCTGTTGGGGAACCTCTGGTGCAGGGTTGTGGTAATTAGCAAGCACAAATGTACAAACCTAGTTGAGCCTCCTGCATTCCAATTGCAAATTTGTCCCAGAAGTCACCCATGACCCTGTGTCTCCTCTCACAGTGCTCTTACAAAAATTGACTGACTTATTCCCCAACCTTTCTTTAACTTTAAATTTTGTTATTTCAAAACATTTGCAAATGAGAACAAAATCACACACCATAATTAATCAGACTGCAAAACTTTACAACTCCGTCAACATGGATACAGTTAGAGCAGGCATTTGCGATGGAAGCTGTAGACTTCATATCACATTCTATACCTTCACTTTTGAGCGTGTTTTTGTGCATGTAGCCACCACCAGAGATGAAAAACCATATTCTGAATTAGCCAGTAACACATGGACATGTGGGTACAGGGTAACAAGAAGAAAAGAGAACAAAAAGGGGTAAGTATTAGGAGATACGGAAGAACTGAATGCAGGTGACAGACCCTCGTCTACAGCGCTACAGACCCTCGTCTACAGCGCTAAGTGTGGCTCCCCCTCGATGAGGAAGGAGGAATTCTATTCTCTCGAGACCGTGGCAAAGGAAGTAAAGCTCTTGATCATGTATGACACGGTTTTTCCTAGCAGTGTTGTGCAGGGATAACCAGGAGTCTGGGGGAGAAGGTATCACGGCTATGGCGATGGACAAAGGGGGTTGACAGGCGGTGTCACTTGTTCAGCTGTCACTTTGGGACTGGGGGAGGATGACAAGAGGCATGGCATGCTTTGAACTCAGTCACTGCTTAAATGAAGAAAGGCAAAGTGACTTCACAGACTCCACAGACTTCTCCTGGGAGCCACGCACAGGGAAATGTGTGTTCGCTTAGTGTCTTTGGCGATCAAGCTAGCATGCACATGGCCAACACTTTGCCCTGCCAACCTACCTTCCCTACTCTTCACAACAATCACCTTTGAAGTGTCTGGCGCTGTTAGGCCTTCAGGATAAAGCCAGGACCATGTGTGGTTGTGCGAATCAGCAATTCTGCATTTGGGCATGTGAGGCAGAGGAATCCGGAGCCCACGGTTATTTTCTACTGCGAAGAACACAGAGCCAACGTGAGCAAATGAGACTCCGTCTCCAAAGTCAAAAAGAAACAAATCACAATAAGACAACAGATGAAAATAGTCTGCACAGATCTCCTAAGGCTGCATTCTGAAGCAGTGGAGTAACGGAGCATACGCCAGACCCAGCTGCGGTGTGCCTGCTCATAACTGACGCGGGCACAGCTTTGGATGCAAGGCGTGGATGCAGATAATGTCTGAACCACTCGGGCTTCTTGTATCTTTTTCCTTTCCTTGATTTGCACAAAAGCTAATTGGTTGTTCTGTTGAATGAGAGGAGACGGTCTAAAGCCTCCTTTGAAGTAGTTAGTCATACTGTGCGTAAGATATAGTTTAAGAATCACCAGGACACTGTATTAGATGTACTTCGTCTTTGCTTATAGTGATGGGAGGAAATAAGGAGTTTCAGGGGAAGCAGGACTACAAACAGTCTACTAAAGGTAAACCATAGAATGTTTAATAAAATCATGGGGCCGGGGAGACGGCTCAGTGGTTAAGAGCACTGGCTGTTCTTCCAGAGGACCCATGGTGTAATACCCAGCACCCACATGACAGCTCACAACTGTCTGTAACTCTACTTCCAGGGAATCTGACACCCCATACAGACACCAATGCACATGAAATAAAAATAAACAAAATTTAAAAAAATTATTTAAGAAGAACAATACTAACTTAATCCTAGAAGATATAGTAAAAAATAGTTTGCATCTCTCTAGAAATCAAGTTCATGCAAAAAACCAAGGTGATACAAAAATCTACACATATGTAAGCACACAAACACAAATGCATATAACATTCATTCCTGCACACGTTTGTTCATGCACCACATGCATGAATGCTTACATGAATTGGACACCCATCACAGACCACCAGCATAGATGTAACTCTGTGGTCCATACCTACACAGACACTGTGGTATCTGTGTAGACAGCAACATTTGCTACAGAAGCTGAGCCTGCCCTAAGGGGTTTGTTTGTTTGCTTGTTTGCTTGTTTGTTTGTTTGTTTGTTTCCATCTGTGATCCTGCAGAGCTGGCTCCCCACTTTCTATTGACACATTCTGCTCCCTCTCATGCTTACCCGTGGTTTTGCTTTGTTTTGTTTTTTAAGTAAAACAGACCACATGAGTATATTTGGCCTTACCAATGATGTCATCTAGATGATGGAGAGCAACCTGTCGGTGCCCTAACTCTTTCCCTGCAGCTTCACTTCAATGCTAATACTACGGCTGGCATCCCCACTTGTCAGCAGAGGAGTTTGGACATAGGGTAAACTAAAGTGATCATGAGCCAGCTGGACAGAGATTAGAGTACCTCCCGGCCCCAGACTGCCAGCCCCAGGTCACACATTTACATAAGAACTGGATGGGCCCAGCGCCACTCACTGTGTGGAGTGAGGGACTGTGTGTAGACTCTGCAGGAGTCGTAACCAGAAACGGCGTTGTGAGGAATGGACACCTGCCTAAAGAGAAAAATGAGAAGGCTGTCCAGTTCAGAGGGACAGAGCTCTTCAAGCCCGGTGTGTGAAATGGGATGTAAGAAGTCAGTGAAATACAGATGTGGCAAAAACAAGACTCTCGGCTTGCTCTTGAGCAACCGGAAGTCGTGGTTTCCTTGGACCCATGACTGAGAGAGTAGAACAACTATTCAGAAAGAGGTCTCACTACCCATTGGGAGGATGAGCAAAGGTCTTAAGGGACAAACAGGAATTCGAGATGCTATTAGCTTTGTTTTCCACAAACAGAGAGAATCTGTTTCTCAGGAAGCAAGAGTTGAGACATTCCGCTAAGGGAGCTGGCTCTGGAGAAGCTCAGTTCTTCCCCTACAAGAGTCTCCCTCCCACAGTTAGAACAGGAGGCCCCGAAAGAGCAGACACGGGCTCAAAAGTTCAAGTGAACTTGAATGAAGGATTCAACACTCATACACCATATCATGGACAGATGTTTTCTCATTCTTTCAAACAAAGGCATATTGGTCACATTGAGACATCATATCCAGACTCAGGCTCATCTCACACTAACCATCTATTTACTTACTGAGTCATTCATTCATTCGTTTATGGGGAGGCACACACATGGCATGTCCTATGTGTGGATCCCAGAAGACAATTTGGGGGAATTCTGTCCTTCTGCCTTATTGAGGTGGAGTGTCTCTTATTTCTGCCATCCTGCATAATTCAGGCTCCTTGGTAACCCATGAGCTACTCCAAAGGCCCGAAGGTGACGACTCCACAGTCTTTGCCTCCCATCTCTCAGCAGAAGTTCTTACTACAAATGCTCACAGCTTCATGCAGCTTTTTCTTACATGTGTTCTGATTCTATTTTCGGTCATCAGGCTTGGCTGGTGTTAGGAATAACATTGGTGCCATGCAAAGGAACACACAAACAAAGCAGCTGTGTCACAGCTAGCTACACACGGGGGCCAACGCGGCTCCAGTATTTTATCCCTGACGTGGGTTGTGACTGCGTCTCACCCAACTGGTGAAGCTCAACTTCACAATCCTACATGACTGGCTAATCCATGCCAAGGGAACAGGGAAGGCTCATTAAATATGAGTCCTTGTTGGGCTAACTACCTTTGATTTAAGAAAGGGAGGGCGGGAAGGGAAGGAAGGAAGGAGAGAGAGAGAGAGAGAGAGAGAGAGAGAGAGAGAGAGAGAGAGAGAGGGAGGGAGGGAGAGAGAGAGAGAGAGAGAGAGAGAGAGAGAGAGGGAGGGAGGAGAGAGAGAGAGAGAGAGAGAGAGAGAGAGAGAGAGAGAGAGAGAGATGTCTCAGTGGTTAAGAGCACTTGGCTATTCTTCCAGAGGACCCAGGTTCAAGTCCCAGCAACCACATGGTCTGTAACTCCATTTCCAGGGGATCTGATATGATACCCTCACATCAATGCACATAAAATCAAGTTAAGCAAATTACTTTGAAAAACAGGAAGGGAAGGGAAGAGGTCCTCTCAGTTGGCACTTTCACCCACTGAGTCGTGTGGCAGGTCTTAACCCATGTGTGTAAAGGAGAAGGGGCGAGCACCTGGTGAAGAGAGCTCTCCCTGGGGTGGAGCAATGAGGAGGCCATCTCCATGCCAGGCCTCTTCCTGAAGAGTTCTGAGGTGTGCCTATCCTCGCAACAGTGGCCACTCAACATTTGATTCAGTGGTCTGCTCTCCCTCTCTGAGCTGAGGAACTGGCCCTCAGTTTATCTCAGAACCAGGCACCAGGGTCAGGAAGGAGGTGAACGTGAAGGCCATGCACATTTCTGTGCAGAGCTCAGATCTGGTGATAAATGCTTAACCACCCATTCTCCACAAAAGTGTCAAAATGGAGACTTCCCACTATCCTGCTTCTGCATAGAGATGCCGCTGAGATGTCTGGCCTCCTCTGGATGTGGGTGACAGTTGTGTGACTTGCTCTGTCTGTGGGGCCCCTGGCTGGCGGTGGGACCTGGTGCATGAACTGACATTTTGGAGCCCATCCCTATATTGGGGTGCCTTGCTCAACCTCAACCTTGTCCTGACTCAACTCCACATGCCAGGCTCAGCTGATGTCCCATGGGAGGTCTTACCCTCTCTGAGGAATGGATGGGGGTGGGAACAGGAAGAGGGGAGGGGAGGAACTGTGGTTGGTATGTAAAATGAGTTAAAAATTTAAAAGAAAAAGAGAAGGGGAGAAGAGGAGGGGGGACAGAACAACAGGAATCAGGAAGACTGAGACAGGGGAGGAATAGAGGAGAGCAAGAAAAGAGACACCTTAGTAGAGGGAGCCAGTACAGGTTTAAAGAGAAATCTGGCACTAGGGAAATGTTCAGAGATCCACAAAGATGACCCCAACTAAGAATCTAGGCAGTAGTGGAGAGACCACCTTTGATGCCCTTCTCCTATAATGAGATTGATGACTACCTTAAATGTCATCCTAGAGCCTTCATCCAGTAGCTGATGGAAGCAGACACCCACAGTTAAGCACTGAGTCATACTCCTGGAATCCAGTTGTAGAGAGTGAGGAGGGATGAGCAAAGGAGTCAAGACCATACTAGAGAAACCTACAGAACCAGTTGACCTGACCTAGTGAGAGCACAGGGACCCCAGTCGTAAAGCTGGGGAACCAGCATTGGACTGATCCAAACCCTCCGAATGTGGGTGCCAGTTAGGAGGCCTGAGCAGTCTATGGGACCTCTAACAGTGAAAACAGTATTTAACCCTAGAGCACAATGGACTTCAGGAGCCCATTCCCTATGGATATTATTTCAGCCCAGATACATGAAGGAGGCCTAGGCGCTCCCTGAAACTATGTGACAGACTTTGATGATCCCCCATGGAAGGCCTCACCGGCCTTGGGGAGCTGGTAGGGGGGGCATGGGAGGGTGGGAGGGAAAGGGAACTGGGGGGGGGTTGATATGTAAAATGATTGTTTCTAAATAAGAGAAAACGAAAAAATTTTAAAAGAAAAAGAAAAGAAGGCTGGACTCAAACCCCCAAATGTCAAGTCATGAAATCCTGAAAGATTAGCAATTGGCTCCCCAAAGCTGGTGTGAGAACTCCATGCCCAAACTACTGATAAATCTCACACAGAAAAATAAAATGTTATCTCTTCCACAGGATTTTTTCCCAGTAGCTAGAGAGATGGTTCCATGGTTAAGAGCATTTCTGCTCTTCCAAAGGACCCAGGTTTGATTTCCAGCACCTACACTGGGGCTTACAAGCATCTGTAACTCCAGTTCCAGGGTATCTGATGCCTCTTCTGGCCTCTGTAGGCACCAGGCATGCACGTGATACACACACATGCATGAAAGAAAAACACCTATGCACACACAAAAAAATTAATTTTTAAAAATTGTTTTTCATTTGCTTAAGAAACAAAATTAATTCCAGAAATCTTTAGAGATAGTACAAGACAGTAAATCATCAAGTAGGTTGTGAGAGCCAAAGTCTAAATTAGTGGCAGGCTGTCTGTGAGGAAGGGCATGGGCAATAAGGGGACCCAGAGATGGTAAGCCACGTGAATGGGATGGTGAGGTGAGGCCAGAGAGCAGAGGCTAGCCAGACCCCACGGTGGAGGAGTGAAGCCTACAGGAAGCAATAAGGAACTAGAAGGGCCAGTGTCTGTGCTCCTGAACCCTTAGAAGTCCCACAACCAACAGGGTCCAGCTCAGTTTGAGACCAGTGAGACCCGCCTGAAGTCAAACCCCCAATGCAATGGGCTCGCTCCTTACAAAGTCTTGAGTGATTCACTCATCGGAGCAGTCTGTTTCTATGGAACAGTGGATAACAAGTGTTCCCTCCACCCCACCACTGTGAAGCTTGCTGGGAAGATGCAGTGACACATGTGTGAGATGATTTTTAAAGCCATTAAGTGTTTTACATGTCAAGTGCTATTATCACTTTCTCCACAGCCATCAGGAATTTGAGTGTTGAAAGTTGTTGAGTCACTGTGGAGTAAGGAGGGCAGGAAATGGCAGCCTCACCCCTGGAGGGAAGGATCTGTGTTGATGGGAACAAATCCTTGTACTTTTCATCCCTATGCCAGAGGAGCCATGGTAATGACATTGTAAAGGGGCTGTTTAGGACCTGGGATGAGCCTCCTGCCTCACAGATGGACGTGTCTGTCCCTGTACAGCAGGGTGTAAAGCCTGGAAAAATCCTGGAACCTGAGGAACGGTTTTCAGCCTTGGGGAATCCATCCCTTTCCCTCTTTCTCCTCTCCTCCTTCCTCCTCCTCCTCCTTGCCCTCAAAGAGCTATGTACTGTGAATAATTTTATCCTGCTCTTTCAAGTGACTGAATTCCTTCTGCGATAGCTCAAAGTCAAGGTAGAAATGGTTGGGCACAAAGTTTCTCTTGGAAGACCCTGTGGGAAGCTTGAGGTGGTTGCACATGCCATGGTCCTAGGTCCTCAGGAGGCTGCCACAGGCAAATTGCCTGAGTTCAGGAGTCCAAAGTCAATGTGAGAGGCAAAGTAAATGAAGAATCAAGAATACAGAGGTCATTGGAAAGCCGGTTGTAGAGGCAAGAGGGTTAGGAGTCCAAGGCCAGCTTGGTTTACTTAGTGAGCTTTGAGGCTAGCCTGGGACACACAGGGAAACCTTGTCTCAAAAGAAGGAAAAAAAGGAGGGAGGGAGGAGAGAAACAGAGAAGGAGGGAGGGAAGGAGGGGGAAAAAGTAATTAATTAATTAATTAAAAAAGAAATTTTAGAAAGACGAGACCAAAAGTACACAACAAAAGAGTAAGAATGGGAAAGCTAGGGCAGAAGAAAATAAGAGCCAACAAAGGGGACATTTGACCTGGAGATCAGGGCTAAGTCCAGCGGTGGAGACACCAACTTGGGGACTGGGCTGTAAGCCGAAGTGAGCTTCCCTTAACCTGTGGCATGTCTGAGCGCAGACTGGTGGGTGTGTCACCAGGCAGTGTCTCTTTACCTTCTTCTGTGTAAGTTTGGTTTTTTCTTTTTCTTCTTCTTCTCCTTCTCATAGTGGTGTGCTGGATAATTCAGGAGGGAAAATCCTTGTTCGGAAAGTCGCTGGGCAGTCCGGGTACAAAGGAAGTTACGCTAATGGTGTTCAGTCTTTATCGTTGCCAAGATGGAGAGAATCCTTCATCATCTCAGGTATGGTCCCACCCTGAAGACAGGATACAGGCATCGGAGGTGACACCAGGATGAAACGTAGTCTTTCAGTTGCTTTTAGTTTTTGCTTTTAGCCTACTTCGCTTCAGAAATATATGAAGCATTCATTCTAAAAACAAGAATTATGAAATAATGGATTATAATTACACGATAAGTCACTACAAAGTCAAATCTGGAAACAGTGCATCAGCTGCTCATTTTAGCTGCATCATAGTTGTCTGCAAGTCCAATCCAACTTCGAGTAAAGTGAACTATGTTTATCAAGTTGGGTTATTTTAAAACACAAAACAGTGCTTCAGACGGGCCAAATGTACCCATGTCTAGAACACTTCAGATGGGCCAAATGTACCCAAGTCTAGAACACTTCAGATGGGCCAAATGTACCCAAGTCTAGAACACTTTCCCTTGAGCTCTCCAGAGATAGGTAGGTGGCAGCACAGGAGAGAAAAAATGAGTCACAATTTTATTTTAGATTATTTTGAATTTTTGCTCAATTAATTGCTTCACTCTTCAGCTTAACTTTCTAGTGCCGTGGAAGTCTTACAGACTATGAGTTCTGACTCTCTGGCTCCCTCTCAAAGCTCCAGGCATGTAGGTTCACACTGAAACAGTAACCAGCTCTCTCTAACTCATCATGAACTGCGCCTCCCATTTCTGCTTATTTCCCCAGCCCAGTCTTATATTTTGAAAATAAACTATCAGAAAATTTAAAAGGTAACACAATGAATACTCATCTTTCTTTCACCCAGATTTCTTAATTGTTTATATTTTGTTTGATCTACTTGCATATCTGTCATTTAAAGATAACTTTTCTGGAAAATGCTGCAAGCATCCTCAGTGTTGTGTCCAAATTCTGAACCCCAAAATCACCAAGAGGCCCATTTCAATGCAAAAGCAAAGAGTCTTTTATTGTAGATGTTTAACAAGCTAAATCCGTTAGCTAGGACCCTTCACCCCACCACCATGCCGGATGGCTGGAGAAAGACCCTGAGCAACCTCCAGACAGGGATCCTAAAGGGCAGCATAAGGGCAGTGTCTAGGGGGTAGGCAACAGTCTCAGGATTGGTGCACTTTCAAGTTTGGACGACCCACCCTGTGCTGATTGGTCAACTGGTTGTTATGGCCCATAGGCCCTCCTAGGGTGGTTGCTATGCTCTGCACGTCACTGTTGTGCACTATCCGTAAAGCACACCCAGAGTCATAAAACACAGCCCTGCCAGCTAACTTCTGATTGGCTCCTTGCCACGAGGAGGGCATCTGACCTCCTAGTGACCAGGACAGGAGCTGCAAGGTCATGCAAGCACGTGGTAGCCTGTCATGGCTGCTAAAACGGGGAAACTGGTCATTACACTAGTATTTTATCTGCAACTACTGCTTCATGTGTCTCTAGGAGCACATACATTTCCTCAGTAACTATCTAGGTACCACATCTGAAAACAAACATTGATGCAACACTATCTGGTAATGAGTTCTTATTCACATGTTCAAAATATTCCTCATAATAATTCATTCCCTTTTTGGGACCTGAAATATGATCAAAGATTAAGCCTAGCATTTAGTTGTCACGTCTCCCAGTCTCTTCCAATTCTCCCACCATGCCACATCTTGGCATCATGAATAATAATGACATCTATGAAGTCTAGGCCAGTTGTCTAGGAGGATATCCTACAGTATGAACCAAAAATAGGGCCAGCTGGTGTGTGTGTGTGTGTGTGTGTGTGTGTGTGTGTGTGTGTGTGTGTGTATGATTGGATTCAACTTCAATATGCATTTCTAAAGAAATACTTATTTTTGTTCTATGTATGTGTGTGTTTTGCCTGCACATTTGTATGTGTGCCATGTGTGTGCCTGGTGCCCACAGAGGTCAGAAGAGGATATCAGAAGCTCTGGAACTAGAGTTACAGACAATTATGAGCCACCATGTGGATACTGGGAACCGAACTCAGATCCTCTGTAAGAGCAGCACATGCTCTTAACCGCTGAGCCATCACTCAACATAAATATCTTGAAAAGGATAGGTTCTACCATCAAATCTCCATGGTGTCATAGTACAATGGCCATGCCAAAGGACTACACTGCCAGTTTCTTTAATTGTTGTTGATACCAAATCTGATTGCTTGTCTAGTATAATATACTTCTCCAGGACCAAGACACGTGTAACTAATTAGCAAGCAAGGTGCTACTTTAAACAGCCCGAGTTAACTTATTCCCCAGTAATGTTTACTAAGCAATTCTAAGCCCCATTGCCCATCCTGGCTTTACAGAGACATCAATCAGTGGTTCTCCAGTGTTCCCCTAGGGTACCAAAATCCACAAGTTGTTCAAGTACCTTATGTACAATAATAGTACGGTGTCTGCATATAATCTATGGGCATCCTCTCATATCAATGTGCCATCTCCAGATTCACCCAGTACTAACGATGTGCATGTTGTGTAAGTAGCTATTCCACTCTGTTGTTTAGGAAACAATGACAAGGGAATAACAATGTGCAACTTCAGGACAGCTACAATTTCCAAGTATTTTAATTGCAGGCTAGTCGAATCCCAAATTCAAATACTATAGGAACACGGCAAACTGTAACTGCAAAATTTTAATTGTGTCATTCCATCTACATTAGTGGTTTCCCCTAACCCCCCTACATTGTTGTTTCTAATGTAGACTATGGACTCACTTGGGGTTTCTTCGTCTTTAAAAGATATTATTATCCACCACACCTGACAAATCATCATTACATTGTTGCATTTCATGTTCTCTGAGATTGGCCAGTGAAAAATGCTCATTCTTTTGACCTGTCATATTTTATTTGGAGCACAAGGTAATTCCTAGGCTCACCTTACCCTCTCTTTGCTCAAGACCCCGGTCTCCTGTTTTCCCTAAGGAAGTTCCACAGGACTTAAAACTAGATTTGGTCTCAAAGCTGCCTGGCCTCCCAGCAAGATTGGATGTGATAGGATTATCCTAGAGAGAAATTCCCTTGGAGAAAGAAATGTCTCATTATACCAGACTAGGTGGTTTTCTAATCCCCATTAGGTATCCCAGGTCCCAAATCCTTGTCTCCTCCATCCATCAGATCTGTGACAAAACTAAAACCAGGAAATCCCTGTTTCCCTGATCCTGTTAAATTATACAGATGAGCCCAGTTTCCTTATGAGAGCATGGGAGGGCACTAGCCACAGAGTAAGTCTTGTAACCAAGAATTCAGGGTGGAGACCAAACGACAATGTCCTTGTCTATTGAGTAGAGAGAAATACAACCTCCACGTAGGAATGTACCAAGAAACTCTTGCCTAAGCATCCAAGCTTACAACTCAGCCTAAGGTCCAGGAATCATATCAGGCTTTAAGGGAAAATCTCATTCCAAGAAAGGAGAGGTGTCAAATGTTGGGATTTTTGTTGTTGTCATCTGCTTTTTGTCTTCGAAATAAAATCAGTTTAATGAGTTTATTCCCTATAAACTTAACTTCCGTCTCATCTAACTTGTAACATTTATCAGAAAATGATTGTGGTCAAAGACAATAATCACATGTACTCATGCAGTGACTAGGAGACCTCTTCCAACTGGATGTTAGGGAGGGCACTGTCTGGTAAGGATGTAGCCAAGGACACCCTGTGATTCACAAGTTCACGGCCAACAAGTATAACCCGATTGTGTGAGAAGCCTCCTCAGAAGGCGCAGGTGCCTGTGTGACCTTTCTCTCGATTTTTATTTCTAACTTTTATAGGTCACTGTGCTTCTTTAATTAATCTGCCTTGGGGCTCTCTCTGGATGCTGTCAGGAGCAATGGGGTATGTGATTTTGGTCCCTGTGACCCTTGGACAGTGCCAGCTTATGTGAGGCCAGCTCAGGTTCCCTAATGACTGCCCTCAGTTTGGTACGCATATCAGACAGCTGAGCTAGTGCTCACTCGCCTTCTGAACAGAAACACTAAGAACTACCCAGTTTTAATAAAAGGGGAGGCCGATACCTCCGCCTCTCTGTGTATAAACTCCTTGTAGCCCATAGCCAGGAGGCCCTCATGAGGTCCGAAGCAGCCTCAACCAGGATCTGCTCGGAGCAGGCTGGGATATGGCTGAGGACCTGGAAATGACCTGTTCCGCTCCCCAGACGGTTTTAATGCCATGAAGTAAGAGGCACCTGTAAGCCAGGACGTTTGCCTCATTTTTGCCTTTGAATGGAACTTACAGGTAATGCCGGAATAAAGTTTTGCATCTTTGAGGACATATGCAGCTCCAAACACTTTTTAATTTCATTTTTTCATTACATCCCTGTAACTTTTTTAGAGGTTGTGTCATTGTTTATATTTTTTGCAATTAAAAAAATAAAGTCTTGAGGATTATAGCAGCTAATTAAAAGGACGAGCACTTACCTAGCATATGTGAAGGGCCCTGGGTTTCATTCCCTAGGACCAAAAAATAAAAGTGAAAAAGTAAAACAGGAACCCAATTTTTCTTGGTGTCAGGCACTTTCTGAGATCTCACCATTCTTGTGTCACTGGGACGTTTGGCACCTTCCTAGACTGTACTCTGGTCTCCTCACTCCGTATGACATCACCCCTTACCATTCTCCCCAAGTACATCCCTGGGTTGAGAGATTAATGCTTTCACATAAATATGACAACAAGTGACACCCCTCCCCCCAGTAAGGGCATGGAGATTGTAGCAAGGGCCTAAACATTAAGATATTACCACTTGGGGCTAGAAATAGGAATCAGTGGTTAAGACTGCTTGATGTTCTTGCAAAGAAAGGTAGTTTGGTTTCTACACAGAGGCCTCACTCATAAATGCCTGTGACTCCAGCTCTAGGAGACCCAAAACCTTTTTTTCTGGCCTCTGAGCATGAACACACACACACACACACACAAATAAATAAATAAATAGATAAAATCCTTAAAGATATTTCCTCATGTCATAGCTACATGGACAGTACCTGGGATCTAAACAGCTCTGCACAGACAAATGAACTTGTCACGGGTCGTGGAGGACACTCTCTGAATTCCACTGGCACTCTCAATTTCATTGTAGAACAAAGCTCGATGTCTGGCATCTCTTGGAAATGAGATGACTCGGCCAGAAACAGCCTTCTGGGGCAACTCCTGTCATGCCGGGCTTGACCCCGCTCTGATGGCCTGGTGTCTTTGTTTTTTCTGCTTCTGTTGTGTCCTTGTGAGACAAGACTGCTCTCCCTACTTGCCTTGCATCTAATGTCTCTCCCCAGGTGACAATCAGTGGGTGTTTTCAAGGAGAACCCACATACACAACTACTTTCAAGTGTCCATGATGGCCTGGTATTCAAATGGATCCCACAGGGTCTGTGAAAGCAAGAGGCCACCATCCATCCACAGACAGCCAGTCCAAGACCTGAAAGGGGAATGTGTGCAGTATTCTGCATCCATCTGCTATTGTAATTGAACATTCAAAGCCCTATGTACGAAAACCTGTTAGCTTACCTGTCACACCTACAGGGGTGAAATAAGAAATTGCTAATGTTAAGCAACTCTGAGTCATGGAGATTTTATTACTCCATTCTATTATTAATAAAGCAAATCCTCCACGAGAAGACAAAACACCACTTGACTTCTTATTGTAATCAACAACTCAGTGCAAGGGCAACAGATGTTGCTGAACTTGAGAGAGGTAAATTGGAAAGAGATAATCCATTCATCTGCACTGAAAGATAAAAACCAGCCCCAGAAATAAATGTTTCTTTCTTTTCTTTTGCAGAGAGTAAACCCCAAAAGGGTGTAACCTACCCGTCGACTCTTACATATTCATCATCCAAAAATCCAGCTGCCCAAGCAGGCAAGTGTTCCCGTGTTGTTTTATCCAAGCTGTTTGAGTGCATAAGCATGAAATGTTGTGTTTTAGGAGACAGTGTGGGAATTAGCATCTTACCCAGTCAAGCCCCACTGACCCTGGAGATGCTTTCACCAATGCCAGGAACCTGGCACCGAAACCAAGGGGATCAGACAGCTGTGGCTTGGAGTGAAGGGGCTTACGTTGTTTTCACGATTGGATGTTGTCTCTGTATTTGTGTCTTTTTCATTCAGAATGGCTGTGACCTGGGATGTTATTGTACTGTTACTTTAGACGATGATATGACCTTAAGCCTAGAAACATTTCCTGGCAACTAAAAGGGAGGAAGCTGCCTCTGCGTGGCTGTAAAGCAAAGGGAAGGAGAGAGAACCATGGGGCTTGCTGGCTAGGAGCAAGCAATCAAACCGCGCATGCGCATCGGGACGAAGTGCCCTCCCAAGGGCTCACCTGAGTCAGCCTCCACTTGGACGAAGCTAAGGAATCCTTCCTCTGAGTTTCTGTGCTAAATCCAGAACTGTGCCATCTATGGTGCTGCTTGGGAGGCACTTCAATTTTTCACACAGCCGGGTGCTTTCTCACAGGATTTGGCGTTCCAGGGACAAGGCAGGTGAACGGGTTTGGTTCAAGTTGCACTCCTGGAGGCAGGACGGATGTGGCTCTGGAATTTCAAGAGCTAGCATTTCTTGAATATTGCTGTGTGCAAAGTGCTGTGACAAGACCTTTCTCTGGTAGTTTTCAGTTAGCCCAGATTACTACCAATATGCCGTTCTTAGCCCTAATGCACAGTTTGCAGAAAACACAGCTCAGAGAAGTTGAGTTAATTGTCAATGACAAACAGCAAGGAATTAGTAAAGCTGAAAGCCAAGCTCAGACAGCCTGGCTGCAAACACCATGCCATAAATCACTGCTCGATTTTCTTCTGCCAGCCACCCTGCATACAGACTCCCTGTCACTACCTCACCTATACTTTCTATGACTTTTTAGTCACTGAAACCATCATGACATATTTATTGAGTTGAAAGAACACAGCCATCTCCATTCCCTACAGTGGGGTGACACCTTAAGGACCAGATCTGAGATGCTGCGTCCTGTCTTCCTTTGCTGAGGACAAGGGGACTGAGAGTAAGCCACAGAGGCCTCCTAATAGTTTCTGTTTCATCCGGGTCTGCAGCCTCGGCTCATCAGGTGATCTCTGAAGAGGTGAAGTATGCAGATAACTGCTGTATGAGTCTACACTTGTCCGTCCCTACCCCTTTCTTCCATTCCTAGCATACCGTCAAAGGGACCGGCAGCCCCTGCACTCAGAACTCTGGGCTTCTCTTCAAACTGCCCCGGGGCCTGAGTTGCTCTGACGTGAGATCACCTTCCTTCCCCTTCTCCCTTGCTCTGTAGCTGTTGAGGGACTTCGGCCAGGAATGTGCTAATGGCACTGATAACCTTAGAAATCCAAGTGTACAGAGAGTTGCCTTTGCCAAGTAACCCCTGACTGTGGAGTACATGTGTCAAGACCCTCCCCCCTTTCACTCTGTGGGGAGAGTGCTTCTAACCTCCCAGAATATTCCCCTAACGCCTCTGCAAAACCCTCCAAGGGGTCCAGGGTGTGCCTGTGAATATTCTACCTCAGAAAGATTGGCTGGAGACCGATGAGCCACCCCCACCAGCAGCTTCTTCCTCAGGCTTGCAGAGGAGCAGGAAGGACAGGAACTGTACACTCACCTAATCACCCCCTCTTGAAGAGTGGCCCTCCCTCCCTCGCTGCTAGGGTTCCGTGACTATGCAAATTAACCTGGAAAGGTCACACGTGTGGGAAGCTCAGGAACAAATTTCCTGGTGTAGAAAGCAGTGTTCAGGTCCCTCTGGCTTCAGCCCTCAGTCCGAACCTGAAAACTGGGAAGGGTCCCACACAACATCCGGCGACCATGGCTATCCGCCAAGTCCTGTCTCTGTGCAGAGCCCTGAGCTTCAGCAGGAAGAGGGTGCCCTCATCTCCCCCTGCTTCAGATAAAGAAGGGTTTAGCAGCTTCCCCAGGGCAGTGATTGTAACTGGTTCCTTAGAGACTGATGGATCGCATCCTCCTAAGGCAGGTAACGGCTGTGGGAAGAGAGACACTGCCTTGGGGTTTTGACTCCATTTGGTCTCAAAGCCCCAAGCAGCATAGGTCTGTCCAAAGCTCTTGTTTGCACCAGCCATGGCCACGCTGAATTGTCCCCACCCACTAAACACGCATCTCCATGCCTATGTAGCATCTTGAAGGAGTGCAGGTGGACCATGGAACGTCTCCCCTCCTACTTCTATTTAGAATTATTCAAAATGCCACACTGTCCAAGCACAACCATTACTGATGTCACTCGTCCCCATTACACACCCCCTCAAGCTTCTGTGGCGTATCACCAGGTATTATTATCCGTCCCTTTTGTCATTCACATATGACATCATCACAAAGAGTGACATTTCTTCACTCGCCCCTTCACTCACCACTGAGTGTCTCCTGTGTGCCAGACCCAAGCTCGATGACAACGGTGGCAATATCAAACAGATGCCTGGGGCCTGGCTCTTTCTCTTTGAAAGGACATGCCCACGTGGGGTGAGTTCTCACTAATTCAAACAAACAAAGTGGAAGAGCAGCCTCGTTGCTACTCTGCCTTTTTTCTGTTTTTTTTTTTTTATTCTTTTGTTTGTTTTTCAAGACAGGGTTTCTCTGTGTAGCTTTAGAGCCCATCTTGGCATTCGCTTTGTAGACAAGGCTGGGCTCGAACTCACAGAGATCCGCCTGCCTCTGCCTCCCGAGTACTGAAATTAAAGGCGTGAGCCACCAACGCCTGGGTTTTTTTATTCTTTATTCATCTTACATACCAACCACAGTTCCCTCTCCCTCTCCTTCCCCCAGGTTACTCTCTTCCCCCGTTCCACTCCTCAGAAAGGGCAAGGCTTCCCATGGGGAGTCAGCAAAACCTGGCACATGAAGTTGAGGCAGGGCAGAGCCCCTCCTGCCTGCATTGAGGTTAAGAGAGGCATCCCACCATAGGAAATGGACTCCAAAACACCGGCTCACACACCAGGGATGAATCCTGGTCCCACTGCCAGGGGCCCCACAAACAGACCAAGATACACAACTGTCTCCTGCATTCAGAGGGCCTAGTTCAGTCCCATGCAGGCTCCCCAGCTGTCAGTCTAGAATCCCTGAGCTCGGGTCCACTGTCTCTGTGGGTTCCCCGTCATGGTCTATGAAAAGAGCAGCCTCGGTTGCCTCTCTTCCTAAGTGATCAAATTCCTTCAGAAACCAGGCAAAGCAGAAGAGAGGGAGATGCAGGGATAACTATGGCTCAGGTGTCAGCATGCTGTATAAAATGCTTCCTACACTCTCCAAAGAAGGAGTTAATAGGTAAATCGGGTTAGGGTAATCCCCCTCCTCTCCCTCCCCGCTCCATCACACCCTGGAAGGGATCTTAGTTGCCTTGCAGGGTTCACACTGGGGACAGATATTGCCCGAAATTTAAAGGCTGCCTCTCCCAGGCAGTTAGCGAGCATTAAGGAACAGCTGCTACTTGGCTACCACCTCCATTTGCTAAATTAAAAAAAAAAAAAGGTAAGCGCTGATTTGCAGAAATGAATCAAAAAAGCCAGGGAGGCACATTCTTGGTGTCATGGCCAAAGAAGGCTGAGGAAATCAAATCTGCTGCTGAGGAAGAGTGCCAGGGCAACAGCCTCCCCTCCCCTCGGCTGCTTGCTAAGCCCTGCCCTGGAAGGAGGTCCAGTCCATGCTTTTAGCATTCAGTTTTACCTCCCAGCATCCCCTGCCCTTTGGACTCATATCCACCCCAACCAGCCCGTTGCCACTCCTGACAGAGAGCTTTGGTGAGATGGCCTCCACAGACCTTGACATAAATTCAGGAATTCTCAAGTGACCAGGCCCATCCCCTACTTGGTTCCCTTTCAGTGGACAAAGGGCATGAGTTTGGAATCCACCTCCCTTGAGCTCTAACCTTGCCTCTGCTTCCATTCTTCCTTGCAAGCCGGACACTTCTGAACCTCTTGAGAATCCTGCTCCGTGGCTTAACACTAGAAACATTTGTGTCTGTTTCCAGAACCGTGGCAGTCTTCATCTGGAATGCTTGTGTGAAAATCCTCCAAAGTCCAGCAGATAGCGGATAGGCGTGCTCAGATCCCCTGCCCTGGTGTACAGCCCCAAGGCTCAGAATGAGTTAGTGGAGAGAACCAAATCATCCCCCAGCACTCAGACCTATGGGCATCTTGGCTTCTGTCTTCTTCACAGCCACCAAGGCTCCCTGCTGTGCCCTGCAGAGGGGACAGCCTACCGTGATGGGAAATGACAGTTCCTACCATTTATTGGATTCCTACATGTGCCAAGCACAGTATGGATGACGTACACATACACTTCACCCAAATTATGGCAGCAACTCTGCCAAGTAGGCATGACTGTCCCCACTCACAAAAGACAGGTTCGGATAGCTTTAGAAGCAAGGCTGGCGACGGTGGAGCTAGGAGCCCAATCTGGTCTGAGCTGCAGTTCTTAGATGTGGCGAGTCAACCTCTCTGGGAACAGTTCCTGGTGGCTGCATCTGGAACCCACTCTCTGCTCAACTCCATTGAACTACCAGGTGGGAGAGTTCTGGGGTTCCACCTGTGGCTGTTGAGGAGGTGGCTGGGGGGCTGTTCTTGGTCATGCCAAATGAGCAACATACCAACAGCCTAAGGCATGTCTTTGAAAACCTCTGAAAGGAGGCAAAGCTTCCATATATCTGACAGTACGTCCACAGAAACTACTTGACTGGGTATTGTGTCCAATTGTTCAAAATGAAGTCAGAGTGTGTAGTATTCAGTCAGGAGCTGGGAGAAGTTAGGACCCGGAGAGGGACATCCTCTTCCTCCATGCTAAAGACGGTTCTAATTTGTAACATGGAGTGAGTAAAAACAGCCCACATAGGACCAGAGAGATGATTCTTGAGTAAACTGACCAAGATTTTGAAAGCAGCTGTGACCTATCAAGTAGACCATTGGATGCCCTCCTGTCGGTTAATCTCTAGCTCACTTGGGAATGAATATTCATGAACTGAACTGGCTGGGGTAGTCAGGGGCCTAGGATCTAGTCAACTGGTTAAGAAGATAATTGTGATTCCCAAACTATAGTAAGTTTATGACGGGAAAATGTCCCAGTGAAGGCTTTATTGTGCTGCATTATGGCTGCATTGACTATTTGAAAGTAAAAAATAATACTGTCTGGTTGTGTACATCTGTCTCTCGAAATGAATCATTGGGCCCTGGCCTTGTTCATCGAAATCTACAAGCTGTTCTACCGACAGCCCCTCCCCAGGTGATGGAAAGCAAATCTGGTCCCACGTCTCCCTCAAGAGGCGCCAAAACCTTCTAGCAACAGAGCAAGGCTGAGGATCCCTCTTGAGAAATTAAACACTATTCCAGGACTTATTATGAATGGCTGTCCTCTAAAGTAAAGGAAGTAGCATGCATCAGGCAGATTGGCTTTGCTCCGGGGTGGTGCAGATGCCGGCTGAAGCCTGAAGCCATCCATGGCTCTTCAGTGATCATCTGGCCTGGCCTTCGGACTGATTTAAAGACGGCACACAGCAGGGTAAATGAAAATGAGAAATCTACTCCCATCCCGCAAGAGCAGATGGAATGGCTGGATGGAACCCCTGGTGCTGGACTTGGTTTTTGTCTGGCCTGCCCTCCCAAATTAGTGGCGTGATTTGCCCCTGGAAGGCCACAGGGCCAGGCTGCGGAAGGGAGCAGGTGCAAGTGTAGGGCAGTGGGTCTGAGCACCCCCAAATGTAGGTCTGCAGGGCTGCAGCTCTGTCACCCTGGGATGCTGTACCGTGCACAGAGCAGGTTGGATGGAGAAAGAGACATCTTTTGACTCTGGTGCCATCATCATTCGTCTGTCTGTCTGTCTGTCTGTCCCCCATGCTGTCCCCCCACACCTGCTTTTCCATGTTCTTAATGGGCTAGGACCGCGTGCGGCAGGTTCCCCATCCCACGGTGCAGCGGGTGATGGACAGTGAGCGGATGGGGACGCGGAGACCTGTAAACGAGATTCATATTGGAAGTTTTATTGAGGAGGAGGTAAAAAATAAGGGAAGGAAAGAGAAAAGAGGTAAAGAGACACAGAGACAGAGTGGAACAGAGGACAGAAGAGGGGGAGGGAGAGACAGAAAAGGTCCTGTCTGCCCTTCAGCAGAACAGCAGGAAAGAACGAGCAGAGGTGGGTGGAGTTTTCTTTTAAAGGGTCAGGTGGGTGAGAGGCAGGGCGGGGTTTGCCTGGGTTACAACACATGTGTCTAAAATGTATAAACCCTGATCACAGTGAATACTAGAGCCAGGATGCTACCAGGGACTGAAAAGCTCCCCTCAAAAAGACACTCAAATACTGATCGCTGGAACCCAAGGGCGCCCTTCTGTGGATCGGAGCTTTTCCCAATATGTCTAGGGGTCTTGACAATGGATATTTATCATGGATTATCTGTGTAGACCCTAAACACAGTCACGCACATCCCCACAAAAGGAAGTAGAGGAAAATTACCTCACCCCCTGAGAAAAGGAGGTCATGTGAAGACAGAGCAGAGAAATGAGGACGCTAACCCTGAAACGGGCCACAGACCAATCCAGATGAGCTCGGCTGGTGCACGAGACACATTCTCCCCCTCCGGCTTCCTTGAGGAAGCTGGGCACTGTGGAGGCTTTAAACCTGACCCGGTAGTCCTTATTTTGGAATCCTGGTGGTGTTGGTTGCATTTTTTTTACAGCCACCCAGCTCCCAAATAAAACACACAGAGGCTTAATATTTCTTATAAATGCCCAGTCTTAGCTTAACTTGTTGCTCTCCAGTTTTTCTTAAAGTAACTGGTCTACCTTTTGCCTCTGGGCTTCTACCTTTCTCTTACGTCTGTAATCTTTCTTTCACTCCTAATTCATGGTTGGCTGCGCAGCTGCGCGGCAGGCCCCCACCATCGTCTCTCCTTGTTCTTTCTGGCTCCTTCTCCTTCCTTCCAGATTTCTATTTATTCACTCTGCCTGCCAGCCCGGCCAGCCTGCCTGATTACTGGCCATTTAGCACTTTATTAGACCATCAGGTGTTTTAGACAGGTAAAAGTAACACAGCTTCACAGAGTTAAGCCAGCACAGCATAAACAAAAGTAACACACTTTAAAATAATATTCCACAGCACCCTGGCCTCCAGAACCATAAGAAAAAAATCTGTAACTTTAAACCACCAAGTTTAGGGTGCTGTATGACAACACCAGAACACCAGATGATTCCCAGTCATAGAACGTTAATACTCCACTGGGTTCCCAGTAGCCATTGACAATAGACCTGGAGCTGGCGGGATGGTCACGGGGTGAGAGACAATGGCTATGTCCCCTACAGCCCTGGCCCAAGGTCCCCAGAGAGTCCCCAGCATCCATGGAGCACCGCACCCCCTTCCCTAAGCACCACACCCCCTTCCCTAAGCCTTTGCGGAGACCAGTGCACACTCCGCTCTAACAAACTGAGACTTGCTTTGCAAGAAGCCTCTGGAGCCTTAGACTCCAAGCTCCTGGAAATGACCTCCCACTCTGGCTGGAGAGATGGCTCAGTGGCTAAAACACTTGTTGCTTTTATAAATTCCCAGCACCGATGCCATGTAAGGCTACTCACAACCACCTTAACTCCAGCTCCAAGGGATCTGACACCTAAGTGTGTTGCTTAATCTTTGGTTGTTGGCTGGCTTTATTGCTCTGAAATTGCACGGGCTATTTATCTAGATTCCATCCTCCACTACTCTGGTACAGATCTCTTCTAAAAGCTGATGGTGTTCAGTAAACATTTATTTGACTCTGGTCCTCTAACTCCTACAGGCTATTTTGTAGGCACCAACGCAATTCTGTTTTCTTACAGGTGAGGCCACAAAAGCCTATGAGAAACCATCTATTTCAGGGACAACCGCACAGCCTGTCACCCTGACACAGGCTCAAGCTATCTCAGTAGCTGAGGCCACCCACAGAGCCACACCAAAGCCATTGGCAGCATCCGTGACCAGCAGCCCCAGAGGGATGGGTGAGTAGGTGGGCTGTGTTGCTGTGCACTACAAGAATAGGTGGTGTATCCTGAGAGGAACAACTTTGTAGGAAGCTGGTAGACAGTGCCCAGCCCTTACCTTTTCAGCTAGTGGTAAGAGATCCAGTGAGACCTTCACCGAGACGGGAGGCAGGCTGTGTCTTCCAGGCTCAAAACGCAGCTACCATTGCCATACCCACAAAGACAGGCTAGTGTGTGACACTTTACTTTTACAAGATCGCCGTTCCCCCAAAAGCTCAGTTGAAAAGGACAGTAGGTTTAACTCTCACCCTTGCTGTGTTACTGGGTTTTATTTGTTTCCTTAAATAATAAATGGCCCACACCCAGAAGTCTTTAGACATCAAAGATAAAACCAAAAGAATCCCTTTAGGAAGTCAGATAGCTGATATAATCGCTTGTCACGTATTATAATCTATCTTCTCCACACTGAGATAAAGAGCACCTGTGTCAGTTAATAGCTTCCTGGAAGGGGGATAGGAAATTGTGTGATGGGATCGATATTATCTTGGAAGGTTTCTCTGAATGTCCCTGTCTGGTGACACGGTTTCCTCCTTGGGGGAAATTCCTTGTTTTCAGCGTCACCCCCAATCATTATTGCCATGCAGCATGACTCTACCCGACCCTGGCAGAGCCCACCTGTCTACCTACCCTTCCATTCTCTGCGGGAGAACTCGCACTTGCCATACCCACAAAGCACTGGGCCTTTTTCTAGGCCACTTACAAATGTTCGCTCACTAGATCGTAACAGCTCTAGACACAGCTACATGATGGCTGACTCCAGCGTGCCCATTGTTGCGGTGAATGAACTAAGGAATATGGGTAAGGGAACGAACCCCAGGCCACACAGGTGAGCAAGCCGAGCAGGAATCCAGGAATCCCAGCCATCAGCAAACACATCAGCCACGGAGGGCCATGCTTTGAGAGGGGGAAGTGGCAAGTTCAGAGGCCGCTGGGCTTCCTTAACAGTCTTCAGGAATTAATAATAAATGTCAGGAAGTGATGTACCCATGCATCATGGGCAGAATATATCCTGTAAAGAGAAGCCTTCCCGCCAGCCTGGTTTCAGAGCCGCATCAGTCCCAAATGAACACACAGGAGGCTATATTAATTATGAAGCTGTTGGCCTTGCTTGTTTCTTACTGGCTAGCTCTGACTTAAGTATTTACCCCATAATTGTTAATCTAAGTATTTCTCTTACCGGAGCAAAGTTTCCGGGCTTCTTATACCTATGGCAGTTACATCTTGACTCCCTGTGTTTCTCCTACCCAGAGTCCTCCTCGACTCCTAGTCCCACCTATCTTGCTTCCCTATTGGCCAACAGTGCTTTGTTGACATATACACAGGACTTCCCCCATCAATATCCCATGCTTTCTTTTATTCTTGCAACCGATTCCATCGTAAACATTGTATTCTATAGATCCCTCATGGGACAAGTTGGGACCTAAAGGTCCCAAGTTAGAGAATCATAAAAACCATTTTGTGAAGTTTGGAAACGCATCAGGCGTGCTCCCCACCCCATCCTACTCTTGTTCGACTGGACTAATATTATCACAAGTTGATGTCACCTGGCAATAAAAAAGACGCGGTAGTCTTCGGTGCTGGTGACCAGGGCTCACAGGAGCCCCCAGACCCAGGGCCTTTTCTTTAGTACATCCCACGCCCTTGGCTTTTGATCCCTTCGTGCTTTCAAATACATTGAGTGTCTGAATCAGCCGCCATCTCCCCCAGAGGGCATAGGCGCTCATGCAACAGAGAACGGTGACTGGTGCGTGGCTTGTTTGTTTACCTGCCTTCCACTGGCAGCTTGGGAATCTCGATGCCAGTTTAGCTGAAAACTCCTCAAAAAACCTGAAGCTGTGACTCCCTGCCTGGCAAGGCTTTGCTGTTCCTGGCTTTGGGACAGGGGCTTTGGACAGCAGCCTCCCAGCCCATCAGCGTTCCCTTTTCCGGCTTCCATGCGACCCACGCACCGCGGGGCACATCCTTGGAGAGAGAGGGCAGCAGGCGCCACAGTCGTTAAGGCAGGAGCCAAGTGGGCAGGGAAGGAGGAGTTCTTAACTACCGCATTGCCCACTCAAGGCACTCTGTGCGCATGAAAAGAAGCGGATATGAACCGGCAAATGCGTTTAAACGCATTTGCCCGTTTAAAATAGCGGTTGTATTGAGACATTCTTCACATGCCATTCCACTCACCCATTTAAAGTCCTTACTCACGGGGAGTTAGTATATAGATACTTACATGGCTGTCGCCGCAATCAAATCCTAGAACATTCTCATCACTCCCAAAGAAGCCCCATTCCTACGAACCTGAGCCCGAGTCACCGCCCGTTCGGTCTTAGATCAGTGGTTGTCAACCTATGGGTCACAACCCCTTTGGTCTTAGATCAGCGGTTCTTAACCCAGGGGTCACAACCCCCTTCGGGCCAAACAACCCCTCCACAGGGGTCTCCTAAAACCATTGGAAAGTAGATATATTTACATTACTATTCATAGAAGTAGTAAAATAGTTATGAAGCAGCCAAGGAAATAATTTTATGGTGGGGGGGCAGTCACCGCAACATGAGGGACTGTATTACACAGGCTTAGGAGGACTGACAACCACTGTCCTAGATAAACATATATCTACTTTTATGAATGACACTCTTTAAAAGTTTACATAAGCATGAAAATTTTATTTGTAACTTGAGTCCATAGTTCTCCATGTGAACTTTGTAGATGATACATCTGGTTGTGACATCAAGGGATCGAAGCCCATGCCTCTACTCATGAACTCAGTAGTAGTTCATGAAGATGGCCTGTGAGCTTGATCATTAACAGTCATTTAAGTTGCCTTGTGTCCTGCAAAATATACCTAATGTGAGATCATGTGATAAAGTGGGTTATCAAAGGAACTCAGTGAGGCTCCAGGTTCCATTCCCAATGTTATGGATGCCTTTTTTGGAGCTAAGCATATTTGCTGTGATATTTTAACCCAAGTACATGAAATAATATTTAGTAGACAAATAACTGCCCTTAAGTTCAAACACTCTAATATTCTGCCAACGATAAGAAAACACTTCTTACAATGTTGTTATTGTGTTCCCCCTTTTGTGTGTGTGATTCAGACAGATGTTAGATGGCTGGGATGTTCAAGAAAAGCGTAATTCATTTAAGAAATATTTGCTTACAGTGTGGTGTGTCACCAGACAACATTCCAGGATATAACAGTGACTACCCCACCCCAATGCACTAAGAGCCAGAGATGATTCCTTCGGCATAGGGCACGTGTGGCCCGTGTTTGAGGATGGAAAGTCACTTTTGTCCTACAGTGAGGACAAAATCGTCCTCTCTCTCAAGCAGAACACTCCCTTAGACTCTAAGTGGTTCTCATCCTTGCTAGTGCTGCAACCCTTAGAGCCCCTCATGTTGGGGTGACCCCAATCGTGAGATTATTTATTTCTTTGCTACTTCATAATTGCAATTTTGCTGCTGTTAGGAATTATCATGTTAATATCTGATGTGTGACCCCCCCCAAGGGGTTGCGAACCTCAGGTTGAGAAACGTGGCCTTAAAGGGAGGCTGACAATAAAATATGTAAATATTTAGCTGCAGAAGAGACGGGCGCTCGCTCTCTCAGCATGTAAAAGCAGGCTGAGGCATGGAAGAACTCCCAGGAAGGGGCGCTGGACACACCTCGTGACCCATGAATATACAAGCCAAGACATCAGAAAGGACCTACAAGGCTAGGAGCAATGATCCAAGAGCCAGGGGCACAGAAACTTCTCTCACAGGACAGAAAGCTGTCTTCATGAGAGAGGCCAAAGAAGGCACCGGTGCCCCCAGAAGCATCCAGCGCCAGAGAAGAGTCACCCAGAGAGCCATTCCATAGCTACACTTAGAAAAGAGTTCTGCAAAGATGATAGACAAGCCACAGGCCCAGCTGGGTCAGCTGAGATCGCTCAGATTTAGAAGGTAGAGTGGCGGCTTGCAGCATTATTTTCCCAGCCATGTTTACACATAAGAGAACTTTGGTGGCCGTGGCTGCTGTAGCGCTAAATGCATGCACAGTACAGACAGATCAGAAGAGTAGAAGAGCGCCGCCTAGTGACCGGCACGGAAATGGCGGAGGCATTCATTTCCCCTCTAGCTCTGGGCAGGGACTGGAAAAAGACAAGTTGGACCGAGGAGACCAGCGTCTACCAGTGCAGTCCTTTCACACGCCCTTTCCCTCCTCACCAGTATTCCTCACCTGTGGAAGTGAAGGTTTTTCTTAGAATCCAACCTTCCAAAAGAAAAATGGAGAAAAACCCATGCCCAGGCAAACTGCAGCAGAGCTACAAATGGCCAATAAATGCATTCTGTAAAAGATACTCAAGTCGGGCGGTGGTGGCGCACGCCTTTAATCCCAGAGCTTGGGAGGCTGAGGCAGGCAGATCTCTGTGAGTTCAAAGCCAGGCTGCTCTACAGAGCCAGTGCCAGGAGAGCCAGGGCTACACAGAGAAATCACAGCTTGAAAAACCAAAACCAAACCAAGCAAGCACACACAATTCATACTGTGAACTGAACAACATGGATTGGGCAAGAGTGTGGAGAAATGACAGAATTCACCAAGAATGAATTATCCGAGGGCTAGAAGAATGGTCATGTTCACGTAAAGGAAACTGAAGATTTACTCACCCACCATTAGAAGGATGAGTAGTTACCATCCAGCTGCTCAGATGAGCTGCATGTACACACTGAAATGCTGTTCAGCCATAAAGAAAAATGCAACGAAGGCATTTTCAGGAATAGAGGGAAGTAGTCATCACTGCTTCCTGCAAAATAAGACAGAGTCCATGTTTTCTCTCATATCTAGATGTGTGTGTGAGAGAGAGAGAGAGAGAGAGAGAGAGAGAGAGAGAGAGAGAGAGAGAGAGAGAGGGAGGAGGGGGCAAGTAGGTCAGGGACTAAGAGAGAAGGGCTCTGAAAAGGTCGAGGACAACAGCAGAACAAAGAAGAGG